TTAGACAAATGAGAGCCTATCTTTACAGCTGCCCGCACCAGTTGTCAGTAATGTTTTATGTTTCAGGCTAGGCAAGACTGCCTTCAGCTGACATTTGTGTTTTATGTCTTGATATAAAAATTGCTGCTTTCAATTGCACAGGATCTAAGCAATAGTTCCAAGATATAAGGAAGAACGTGGCATACTTCACTAAAGCTATATAGAGAAAAGTCTTGTATGGTTCCCCTGCAAACAAAGCCGGAGCAGATGATGTGCCGCAACAACAACAGCTGCCTACTTACAGTTTAAAAGATATTGGATTTAATTCCCCAGTATTCCTATCTTTTTGAACAGGATAGCAGCAGTTGAAACCATGGGAAGAGACTAATGAAGGGATAAGTTGTAGCCAGGTCAGTTCATAGTACAGCTAAAGAACTAATTCAGTTTGGCTCTTTATGGAGTACATACAGATCTGGTCTAAAATGCCTTTACTGGATCTATTTTGACTGAATTTTGCAGTTCTCCGACACTTCCTTCCTTACAAAATGATTCCTGAGTGAATGATTACTTAAAGTATAATTCTACATCAAAATACATTACTATTCCAGCTTCAAGAAAGGAACTATATAATTCAAGAGATACTAAGAAGCATGCATCTAGAGAATTAAAAGCACTGGAAAAGCAAACAGAAGGTCAGCACAGAAATTAAACAGAAGACTAACATTTGCCTTTCATCAGCATTCTGTCACTTAGCTGCTGACTCTGCTTTGTAAATAACACTTGCTTATCAATTGGGAGCCATGGGATCAATAATTCAATAGCTTTGGATAGGACTTAAGACAAAAAGAGAGTAAGGGACAAATATTTGTAGAGCCAACAGAAGGAACCAGGTTCTTCCAAGATCTTACTGAATGACCTCAGTGATAACACATTCTAGTTTAATAAATTAAAATATTTTATCAGCTAAAGAATTAATGGTAATGAAACCTCCTTATTTCTAAGTTTTCTAAAACATGGCATTCTGCTAGATGAATCAAGCAGAGAGGGGAAATGAGCGTAAAGTAGCATGAACCAAGAGAATGAAACCATTAAAGGAGCTTCACTCCTCCTTCAGTAATCTTTAAGGGAAGTCTTTTTAGTGCATGCACATTGGTGTAACTGCAGTGCCCATAGCCCAAGGCTAAATGACAGGCTCTAACCGCCAATTCTCAAGACCACAGCCAAATAACTCGCTAAGAATATGAACACTGAGCTTTTGTACACCTAAGCATCTCTGGGGAATTTCCTAATGCAAAGCATGCTCCTCAGAAGTTACAGTTTAGCCTAAAGCTATTTTGGAATATTAATTATTTGGGAAATCAGCAGCCGCACAGAGGAAAGATTTAGAACTGTTTGCTGATGCACATGTAGGAGACGCAATTTGTCTACGTTTAAAAATATCCATAAATTTTATAAACAAAAAAAATTTAACTTACAGTAGGTTATGGTAAAAAACAAAAACCAACAAACAAATTACTATGAATATAGTGTCATTAGCATATCTAGTTGCTAATGAAAAGACTTCCTAGGAATGGAAAAGTGTTCCTCAATAGTGTCATGAACCAAAGCAAAATATGCAAAAATCCACAATTTGGAAGACCAGTCTACTTTCAGTAGCCAAACTGAATGACACATGGAATGTAAATTGACAGTGTCTTGCATTAAAAAAAATTCAGATTTTTTGGTTCAGTAATTCTTTCAATTTTAGATCAGAGATGGGACTGCTGGGTTGCTACAGTCTTTTTAAAAATTTTATCATGAGTTTCTCAATGCAGACTGCAAAACTTTAATGAGTTGACGAAGAGCCTGTTTGTTTTCTTATGTAAGACTGTTACAACACAGTGAAAGTGAGACACCCAATAGATAGAAAATAATGGCAGTCAAATTTCAAATTAATATAAAGATATTAGGCACTTTCAACAGATGTCAATGGTATTTCTTCCTAGTTAGGACAGACTATAAAGAAGCATTCAAGTAGGAAAGTTATTCTTACTGAAAATGGCCAAACATATTTACCCTGAAATCAGGTCTGAAGTCTATTATTAATTAGCATTAGCAGGCATGAAGCAGTGTTTTTCAGGTAACAAACTGACTGCCTCCAGCCTTGGCAAGTTATTCCTAAGCACTTCTAATCCTAATAGGATCCTAATAGGACAGTCATGAAGTAGGAGACCAACCTTGCCTATGAGATGCCTTAGAAATCAAAATAGGCCTAATATTCACAGAGGAAGCTTCAGCGAGTGCTTAGATGACGAGCGGTGCCACAAAAGATAGAGGGTAGGAGAAAATTTATGTCTGACATCCAGGCCCTAGGAGTCCCAAAAAGTTTAGCACTGACAAATGATGATGGAATGGGAGCTATTCCAAATTTTATGTACTGTTGATTATATGAATAAGACTGTACTGAAGAAAGTAAGTCAAAGGAACATAATGAATCATGGTTGCACAAGTTTCGTTCCCCAAACAATTGCACAGATATACAGCAGGGATGTCTGAGAAAGCCAGACTTGCTTTTCCATATCAGTGCAATCAGCTCATAGCATAGGGCAGAGCCTGGTCTGAGTGGAAAAGCTGCAGCGTTCCAACAGAGTAGTTAGTAACAAGAAGCAGAAGAGGGTGTTTGCTACCATTTCTTTTCATAGCACTCTCAGTTTCTCTTTTGTTTCTCATAGAAGAGAGGTTTTTAAGGCCATTGCTAAATGTTTCTAATTTACAGCACTAGGGAAGACAGCTGTTTCAATAATTTGCTAATTATGATAGATAGAGGTGCTTGTGTTATCTGCTATATACGTGCAGAGGAAGGAGGCATTCTCTTAAGACTAGGCTGGATCAGTTACTTATTAGATGAAGAATGGCTAACATGCTTTTTTGGTCAGAAAGAAAACACTAGCCAGGTCAATAAGGAGTAATTATAGAGGCTTTCAACTTTAAAGCAGGCTTCACAGAGGCAAATAGATGCAGTCACAGATTTTAAATGCCTGAGAAGTAAATTTCCTTTACTAAACTTCAGCTAAGAGCTCTTATCTGTGCACTGAAAGAGGAAGCTTTTGAGAATAGCATGAATAAGGACATTCCTACTTCAGGTTTGTGAATGAGGAGAAGCGATAGTCCTTCTGCACTGGCTACAAATGTGTCTTTTCAGAAAAGTTCTTAGGATGAGCAGATATGTTGCTATGAAAGCCAGGTAGAGTAGCAAGAAAACACTTATAGAAGTGTTGCAGGATATAAACTGAAAAGGCTGAAAATTAGAAGACAATGAGTGAGATCCTCAGGCTTTGTCTAAAAGTAAATTCAAGACCAGAGAGAGACAGTTTGAAATCTGTTTTAACCAATAAACATGCAATTCCTTCTGCTAGAGCTGACAGCAGTTAACCCACTGCATAACTCCCAGCTGCCCTACCAGTGATTTTTGCTCCAGCCTCTGGCTAGAGAAGAATCACCATATTTCATCTATTTGCTCAATATATGGTCAATTGATGACTTGTATTATAGGAAACATTATTGGAGGCATTACTGGCCAAATTTCTTCATCAGCACTATACACTAGGACATACTGAAGCATGTCTATCAGTGCGTTTAGCCATATTTCTGAATTACAAGAGGGTATAATCTTCATGAGGGGATTATACTCTCTCTGGGAGAGCAAGAGTAGCACAGGCCAAAGCACTAGGATTAGTATGCAGAAAGAACAGGAAAGGAAAGGGTGGCTTGTAACAACTTAAAATCTAGAATTAAGACTAGGAGTAGAATTTAGAACTATATAACACATAGACAAAGGAGAATTAAACAGAGAACCACCATGACCAGAGAATTTGACCAAACGGAAACAAGCTTAACGGGAGTTTAGTTTTATAGGGAAAAAGAATTACTAGGGATGCTGTCTTCTACCCTCACATCCATACATGAGAAAACCTGTGAAGAAATAAACCGTGAGTCTTCAAGAAGTTCCTCTACATTTAAGGTACATAGCATCTTGGTTTGGGGTCCTATAAATCCTGTTCACTCTTGAAACTGATGCAAAGGCTTGCATTCATTTTATTCAAGTATATGATGCATAAAAGGTTAACACAAATATCTGTTAAAAAAAGAAACGCTTAAAACTTTAGCACATATGGCAATTTTAGCCTTCAAAGAGACTTCTGACAGATGCTCAATCCAGTCAGTAACTCTAGCCCCAAAGAGAGTAAATAAAACATGTTAGCTTTTAGAAGCTAAATCATTAAATATGCGTCTTTTTCACCATGCCTTCATCTACTTTTCCTACGACAATCCATGAACGCATATTCCAAGTGGAAACATTCAAGCTGTGTTTAAGCGTCCAGAAAGCCTTGCATAGTTATGAAAGCTGCTACCAAATGAGTCTTTTGCTTCTAGTAGTCTTGAACAATTCCCAATCAGGCAGTAACACTCCACTGTGGACACTAATCAAGGCTTTTGAAGCCATCTGACAGCAGTGTTTAACAAGGCAGAGTTGCTATCAAAATACAACTTTATTGATTAAACAGTGATTAAAAGCAGTACTATAAACCAACTACAGGTAGGATAAAGACTTCAGAGACTGCAGTATGAACTAAGCATTAAACACATTTTAAGGAGCTATACAAGAAAGGGGAAGGAAGGCAGTTATGACAGCCAATTTTCTCCAGCAAACCACTCAGACACAGACTAGTTCATGTAGCAGGTTTAGGAGGGTATTTATGAACTGATGCAATATATATATCCTTCAGCAATTCCCACATAAAGTATTGTAGAAACAGCAGCCATCATTGTTCATGCTTACATTTGAAAATAAAAATTTAACAAAAAATCCCCCTAATATAATACAAAACAGGTTTGCCCTCTATGAAATCAGAGGAAGTTGTCCAAGAGGAAAGTTTCTCCCAGTGCTGCTAAGGATTCACAGAGACGTTCTTGGAAACGGCTGTCAAACATGTCACTTATTTCCTCTCTTAGCTCCCTCAGCAGAGGCACTGTGGACTTACCATCCGCATTCAGAATTCTCTCAAAAAGTTTTCTCGAGAAATCACTGCCAACAGTCCTAAAACAAATAGAGCAGTTTCCAGTGAAACAGTATGGCATACGTGACATGTCTCTTAAGACTTCTATTTATATTCAGCTCTAAATGCCCTGGGAAGACTCAGACTAAAACAGTATTTTCATTCATATGAATGACTCTAAAGGAAAAGTAGGAGTGTTTTGTTGAAGTTTATATGTGCAGGCCCATCTTTCTCCAGTAGGCTTCTGCATAGAAGCTAGACAGTCAGTCAGTTTCACAGATCTACCAATAACACTATTGTTACACTATTACCTCTTCTAGGGTACCTGACCACTATTACCTCTTCTAGGGTACCTTTATATTGAGCCAAGAGTTTTTAGATGAGTTATAAGAGGATTTGTTGAACCAAAGTTGACAGATTTCTTTCATGAAAAAGGGGTAGATACAAATCTTAAAGTACTCCCCCATTTAGAAGGGAGTAATTCACAGGTCAGTATTAAAGGAAAGCCACATGAGAAATATGAAAAACAAGTGGTTTACAGCCAGTCTGACTCCTTTTTTCCCATCCATCTGCCAGAGCTCTTCTATAGATAAGATTTCAAAGACTATATTGCCAGTCTCATAGATAACATGAACAAAAAGGCTATGTAGGTAAGTCACAGAATGGTGGAGGTAGGAAGAGACCTCTGGAGATCATCTCGTCCAACCTCCCTGCTCAAGCAGGGTCCTCTAGAGCACATTGCCCAGGATCATGTCCAGGTGGGTTTTGAATACCTCCAGCGAAGGAGACTCCACAACCTCTCTGGGCAGTCTGTTCCAGTATGCAGTCACCCTCACAGGAAAGAGTTTTTTCCCCTCATGTTCAGACAGACCTTCCTGTGTTTCAGTTTGTGCCCATTGCCTCTTGCCCTGGCACCGCGGAAAAGAGGCTGGCCCCATACTCTCGACACCTCCTCTTCAGATACTTGGACACATTGATGAGATCGCCCCTCAGTCTTCTCTTCTCCAGGCTAACAGGCCCAGCTCTCTCAGTATTTCTTCAGAGGAGAGATACTCCAGTCCCCTAATCATCTTTGTAGCCCTCTGCTGGACTCTCCAGTAGTGCCATGTCTCTTGTCCTGGGGAGCCCAGAATTGGACACAGCACTCCAGGTGAGGCCTCACCAGGGCTGAATAGAGGGGGACTCATTAAGCCTGGAAAAATGGTATTACAACTAACCTTTTGTCCTTCAGTCTTGCACTGAAGTCCATAGACCATGGTGCTTCAGACTACTGAAGCACTTTTCCTCCTCAAGGTAGGAGTTACATTGGTTTTCAACAAGTTATCTGCCTCTGCTTTAAGTGGCTGGTAAAACAGCAGACATGGTCTCAGAAGGGATCTGGCTTGTACTGTTACATTAATAACTCTTACATTTTCTAAAATAAGTCAGACACAGCACAATAGAAAACATGTGAGACTTGAGGCTATTTGCTTCACAGTCATAGTCAAATAAGAGGCACGGCAGAGAAGGTTAAGATTAAGGACATCTAAAGCGTTATCAGTGACTAAAATAGTCCTGAAAATTCAAACATAGTTTCTACATGCTAGCTTACATCAGCCTGCACAGATGGAGTTTCCTAAAATAGGATGGTGAAAATGGAAACACTAAAGACACCTCTGGAAATGAAAATCCAAGTCCATTTTCTGACAATGGTAATCCACTAGAACTCCCTGCCCTTAAAGACAGATTAAGGTCAACCTTTAGTGCTCAATGATGAGCAAATAAACTTGATTGGAATTCACATTCTACCTTTCTAGAGGTGTTTGCTACAACGTTAAATTTAAGTGTTTTGCATTAATTCTGGTGGTTTTCAAGGAGGTTCTGCTTTGTTGTGTTCCACATGCCCTGGATGGCCACGTTCATGTTTTGTCCCATTGTTCTGGTATTTTGTTGAACTGATATTAAGAGTAGTAGACTGTCTGACAAAGCCATGATCTTCAAGTTTGTTTAATATTTAATGTTTCTTTATTAAAACTAATTTAATTTTTAAAGTCTTTTATAAGATAACGAGGTCAAGGCTCCTGCATTCATGTAAGTCAGCCTTCATGTAAGCACCTTCTTTTTGTTTTTCTCCCCCTAAATTCTCAGAACATTCTTCCAGGAAAGTAAACCTGTCAACATAATCCTCAAACTTTCCAAATCACTCGTAGAACTTTTAGCAGAATTAACAAGATCTTTAGAAAATAAAAGTAGAATCACTAAAAGCCATAGCAAAAATGTCCTGGGTCTTCACAGGACTCGCAAGTATTACTACGATGCTTGGCTGCATTCAAGGGATAAAGCTCAAGATTAACCAGTATCTGACTCTTCTCCCAGGGAAATGCTTCAAAAGTGTTGCCCCTTCTGGAGAAGGAAGGTTCCTCGTAGCACGAAACCGGTTTGTCAGAGATTACTTGAGAGCTTACTGAAAGCTTCAAATTGACTGGAGGAAGAGGAGTCAAACAGGAGCCAAACGTACTGAAAGAGTTAAGTCTTAACCCCAAGGCTTTGCCAAAGACGACAGATTCAGTGCAAATTCTTTATTCTTGCATAATTAAATACTCACTTTATACCACTGATGCAACACTTTGGTGTAACATGTGCAACTAAAGCATGTATAAGTTTCCTGGAATTCCTGATATTGAAAAATAAGTGTAGAAGATCAGTAATAACAGATCTGTCACATTTTCAGCAGTAAGGTAGAAAACAGGATGGAAAAATGGAACTCCCTTCTTTGTATTTGCACTTCCAACACTGAGACAGACATTCCCAAGTAAGAGATGATCCATCGCATCCCAGTTCCAGTCCCCAGTGTTCCGGGGACACACAACTCATGCCCAGGCTTTGTCCTCCTCCTCCTCCAAAGTCTCTATTTGCTTCACAACTCTTGATCCTCCTGCTATCTAAATCTCCTTCCAAGTTTTACCTCTATCCAGAATCCTATTTCTTTGAACACTGTCACCAACCTTGACCCAAATCCCTTTCCAACTGACCCCTCCCTTCCAAGCTCCCCATAATGGCCAGCCCTATCCTTCCAAAGTCAGAACTTCCTGTATCTGCTACTCAGCTCCTCCTGCTCCAATTATTCAGACAAGTTATGGTTATTTTTCTTCATATCTACATGCAGGACAGTCCTTAACACCCTATTCCTACCCTCCAACCGAGCCTTTGTTTGGCCCCATCTGCTGCTGCTCAATTTCTTCTCTGGTAAAATAAAAAGACAAACAAAGAAAAACAGAAACACACCAAACAGAGACAGCAATACTTACCAGAAAACTATCCCAAAAGAATATTGGGAAAAAAATTGGACATGCCCTGAAAGAATATTGGGAAAAAAATTGGACATGTCCTGATAAAAATGAACATATAGCAGTCCTATTTTTCAGAGTAGGTCAGATTTACTTAGCTCAAAAATAAGAGGTGTTAGAATATCTGTCAGCACAGAGCTGAAGTCAGCCTGCATCAGTGATTTAGCCATTAATTGCTTTTTAGTATTTCTGAAACTGAGGCAATAAAAATATATATTTACTGCCAAACTATAGATCAATGGAATCCATCTCTTCAGAGAACTATCACCCTTGGTGATTTTTTTCTTTGCTGCCAGTATAGTAAGCTGATCATCCAAAGAATAAAAAGCTTCCGGGTGTAGTATAGAATGCATAGTGAGTACATGCTAGAAGTCTACTACAGCCTTTGTAACTATTGGTATTAATCTATAACAATATGTAGCAAACAAACGTAAAGAAAAATCATTCCTGCCCTCCCCCATGTATAGCTCAGGAAGATAAGATTTTATTTCAAAGGTTGAATACAGCAAACACTAGGGAGGCATAAGCAATGCAGGTTGCTAGGGAACTGGACAACTTCCAAATTGGTAGCACGTTCTCTTTAAGTGATGCTTGTAGAGAAGTATATCCCACATACTGAATGCGGCTAATATACAATTATCCTGAATGCAAACAGCTCTCAAGTAGAGTTTATATCATAAGCAGAGCTCTCTGGACTATCCTTATGAAATGCTAAGGCAGAAAAACTCCTGCAAGATATAACTGATGAAATGTACAGGTATTTACTCTAAGAACAAACAAAGGGTAGATGAATGCAGTGATGACAGGAGAGCAATCTTGTACCCAAAACATCTGGCTAAAGGGAGCAGTAGAAGTTAACAACTAGGGGGGAAAAAAGTGTTTGCCCATACATCTTAAATTATCCATGCACAAGAAGGAAAATAATTAAAGTTATACTGTTTCTGCAACAGTTACAGACAGAAACCTGGCCTCAGTGTCTTACTAGTCCTGCAATAGAGCCTAGAATGAAAGAGCAGAAAATCCAAACAATCTCTGTATCTAAAGCAACATTTTCATGTAATTTCTTTCCTACCACCCATGCACGTATAAAGCTTCTCCAAGCTTGGTCTATCAAGTGAAAAGAGAGACTAAGGCGGTCTAGTCTGAAAGGAAAGGAGCAGGGGGGTAGGGTACAAAATTCATCTTAACTGCTCTGTAAAGCTCATTCAGCATAAACCTGTCTCAAACATAGGAGGATAGCATGTAGTACATGTTTGAGTATGTTATAATACTTAATGTTTGTATAGTACTTAGTGTGTTACAGTACTTGATGCTTTGAGTACTATGTACTCAAACATTAAGTACTATAACTTTGGAATTTACTAGACTTATTCACCATAATCCTCCCCAGAACACAGTATTGTTGCCAAGAGCATAAGTTCTGTGCTTTAAGCTTTGAAAATGCTACCTCTGTAAAGAAAGCAGAGGAAATTAGAAGCAGCCTGTTCCTTCCCAGAAGCCCCCTCTGAAGAAGAACTTACTTGGATATATTTTGGCTGATTTTCCAGGTGAAATTTTCCTGATAGACCTGGACATGATCCCCAAACAGCATCAAATGGACTATATCTGCAATGCCAACCAAGTCTACCTGCAACCACAGTAGACATCAGAAAATTGAGCTTCTGTTGATTTCTGCAGTCTGCTACAGATTTCATACATTGGTACTTTTACCCATTTAAGGCTGAATTGGTGATTGCATCAGAATCGTCCACAAAGTTGCTAAGGAAACAGAACTGCAAAAAGGAAGATTTTGGTCTTATCCTAAGTTCCTAAATAAGTATAGCAGTCACAAAAAATCAGCAAGTCAAGAACAATGATGCTAGTCTCTTCAAATGCCAAATATGTAGTTAGATGAAAAGTTAAGCTATTTGGCTAAATATAGACTCACCTGATAAGGAGAGGAACTTTTTGCCAGGAGCTGTTGTCCATAAGGGGTCTGAGCTATTGGAAAGCTGTTGGGCAAACTTATTTGAGGCTGCAGTCTTAAGTCCAGACTGTGAGAGAAATCCACTATCTTCAGAGCACTAGTCATCTCATCATTAGCAAATGGATCACAGATCCTGCGTAAAGAAAACAAACAATGGGTAAGACAAGCCACCTACAGAACTCTTTTTTTTTTTTAAAACCATGTAGCAGAGGCAAGTCTATGTCAATGCTCCCCTCTGGTGGTTAGCTTAAGAACTACTATTAGAAGGACTTCACCTGGAAGTAAGGTGAGCCAGGGGCAGATCGAAGCTTAGAGAGAACACTGATATCTCCAAAGAAGGCAACGGGAAACACTAAACACTGATGCTGTTTTGACATTTGCAAGTCACCAAAAGCACAGTTGGAGGAACTGTAACAAGAAAATAGGGTTGTATTTACCTTATTCTCCCTCCTTCCTTCTCAAGATCTCAGGATACTTTATACATGAAAGAATTAAGCTTCATAGTACTTTACTAAACCTTCCCTATTCTACACATTAGGGAGAAGAAACACAAAATGGAGTGGCAGGGAGGAAAGCATTTGGATGGATGCCAGAACATAGTGCAAGGCCAACAATATAAACAGATCAAGATTCTTCCTACTATCCTACCTAAAATACTTCTGTGCAATAAGCCTGCTTTGTACTTTTGACTCCATTTATTTGTGTTAGGGACTTATCCTAGGATCATGTCTACTATCCAAGGAAAAAGGGGGGGGGAGGGGGAGGGAGAGGGAGAAGAATCATTACCCTAAATTGTTGGCAGCTAAAGTTGGGTTTGTATTTACCACAGGAAAAACAAAATAAACCTAACAGTAGGCCTCTAAGCCCATCAAGCCAGATTCCTATCTATTAGATGACTGTATTAGATGACTGTAGGTTAAAAGTAAGTTTACAGTCAATAGCTATTTTTAATATATCAATGAAGACTAAGAACAGCCTCACTGAATTTCTTCTAATAGAAATGTATCTCAATCTAGATCATTAGACATTCCAAAATTAATATCATCCCACATTTAGTTCACAGATTAATATTCCAAGAGATATGTGACTTCATTAACATAGTTTGGGGAAGAGCTTAAAAAAGAAAACTGGATCTGTTCATCAAGTTACCAGCTGGACTGTAGCAGGAAGGCAAGCAATCTATTTAGCAACTGGAATATGCAGGCACTCTCATCTGCCCTTCAAATCTTTATCATCCTGTTTTTCAGATATTTAAGACTAAAAGCAAATTATTTATCAGTATATAGTTAGCTGTCCAGTACAGTTGCTAGTGTTCTCAAATTTCTAACTTACCATAGTGAAAAGTTTAATATAACACACATTTTACATCATCATTGTGCAGTTATGTCTTTCTATAGAAACATAGAAAACAAAGGATTATTCTAAGCAAAACGTTTTCCCTACTTTCAGAATACATTGCAGCCTAGAAAATGTCTCTGACCCAAAAAACCTGAACTACAACATCAGAACACTAACTAAAGCAAAGAAATTACAAAAAGCATAAGAGTTGTAGCTGAAATGGAGTATAATATGTCCTCCCACGTTTATACAAACGGACTAACCTGTCTCCCAGAAAGAAGACCTCTGGACTCAAGCCTCCATGGACAATCTCTGCTTTGTGGAGCTTCTCTACCACACCCAGAAGATTGTAAACAACCAACACGATAACTTCCTCTGTGATGGCTTTGCAGCCACGAATAACATCCTGAAAATAACGAACAAACATATATCTATATGCCATTCTACCCCAAATAAAATGGAATATTTATAGCTCACTTTTTTTCTAGTCAGCGGTACAGAGATAACAGTACCACCCTAAATTCAGTATAGTCAGATTTTCCCCATGATCATCCTACCAGAATTAAAACCACCACGAGCTCTCAGAAGACACTATTATTCAGGAATGCTGCGCCCCACTGTCTCCCCCCAAAAAACCAACACACACAGAGGAGGACAAAATTTAACTGAAGATTGAAATTATTTAATGTATATCCTCCCTATGCAACAATTCAAAAATGTATTTACCATATTTTATTTAAACACAAATCCTTCAGCAAAATGCTAAATGTGACCTTATGCTATGCCATAGCAGACCGGAAGTCTAGAAGATGCCAAGAAAAGAGTTTTAGATGCAAACCCTATTGTGGAATAACATACAGTTCTTGGCTTATGTCACTTGTCACTTTCATGAATAAAGAAAAAGTGAAGAATGAGTTAAATTAGTCTCAGAGAAGCACACAACCTACGTATGAGAAACTAGCCCTATCTAAGGCTATATAATAAACAGTCCTAATTTGCATTTAGGTGAAACAAAAAACAGAGGATCCAGACTACAGTATTAAACATGTGAAACCATCTTCAGGAATGACTGGCAAAACTCACTATTGGTACTTATGAAAGAGTTCATGTCTTCTACAGTTGCACTTTGGTCATCTATACTGACCCCAAGAGTGAAGCGATTTATATCCCTATGTAGAATAGCACAGCCATCTTGGTACAAGAAACAGCTGCAGTTCTCACTGAAGCTTTGGTCAAAGTCAGTATTCAGACGCTCCTGTAATTGAAGCGTGATATAAAAATCCCAAGGCACAGGCTGAGAGTACACCTATAAGAAGGTACAGAAGAACATTTATTTTGGAATAAAGCAAAAATTGCTCATCTTCATATTTTTTTCCCTTCCCCGCTTTACTATGGAACACGTTTTCTGCAGTCAGAAACTTCAAATTTATATTCACAATGAGAAAGAGATTTTGAAATAGCTAGCTTTATGCATGGAATTAAGAAAGCAAGAACAAGTTTACTGTATAGTAGGCTAAAATGGCTGATTTCACATTTCATGTATAAACAACATCATATGTTACCTTTATTGCAAATCCCTTTGCATCCAGCTGGGGAAAGTTAGCTGGAACAGCAAAAACCATCTTGTATTCTTCATTGGTCCAATATTCCCGTTTGATACAGTAAGTCTCATTTCCTGTTATGAAAGTTTACAATTCAAGGTTTCTAGGCAAATATATGCGCTCAGACTATTCAAGCCATTCCCCACCTCCCCGCCATAAAACTTGGGAGGGGAGCGAGCATGAGATATGTTATGTTCCAAACCAATTCAGAACATAAAGAGAAGCCTTGCACTCTAGAAAGCCTGGAATACTTACCTAGCTCAAATTCTTTCTCAAATACCATCACAGGCAGAGATCCATTCTCCAAATGAAAGCCTGGAGAAGCAGTCAGTGATTCTGGCATAGGATCTAAGAGCTTTTTACGCTGTTCATCACTCCACAAAAACTGAGTTATGTCATCACCTAGGAAGGCAAATAACAGAAAAAGATGAGCCCAGTCTAGGTGTTGATGCTCTTTGTGAAATGATCATATCTGGCGAGGAAAGTGACATGGATGTTGCAAGCATTTAACTGGACTTTATTTGCATACTGATTTACTGCATTACCTTTCAGCAAGTCAGATAATCTTTTCCCAATAGTTTCTCATTCCATAAAGTGAAAACAACTCTTATCTTTAAAACTATCTTAGCATATCTTGAGGCCTCAATGATTCTTCTGTAGTAAATCTTGTAAAAATGTATTTTTCACAGAACAGACAAAACTATGAATTAGATTAGGTACCTCTGCTCAGCCACAGCAGAAACCAGTCTCATAATTTTGAGAATTATCAATTCAATTCTTAATCTATTTCTAGAATAAATGATCAATTTGTGATTTTTTTTTTTTTTAAACTGAAGGGCTTAGTTGAAATGAAATTTTTTCAATACAGCAAGGGGGGGGGGTGTGTGTGGTGTTTGTACACACACATATATATATATACACACACACACTGGAAAGTCAGACTCTGACTCTGCTGCTCATTGCAACAGTATGAATTTAATGGCTTTCACCTCCTGGAAAATACATAGGAAAACTAGATGTAGGTCTGAGTTTATCTGTTGGATAGCTTCCTCTCTGTTCTATTATCCAGGAGGATAACTTTGTCTTTGGGAGAACTGATACAGCCTGAAAGTATCGACTTCCAGTGATTAGGCAGACTAAAACACAACAGGAGTAGCTGGCTTCTGCTGACTTCCTCTCCCAAAAAAGTCTGATTAACAGTCTTTCACAGTACAAAAATATAAAACAGTATAATGTACTATGTAATAGTAGGTAGTGATACACATATATATTTATTCATATATATTTATTTGAAAAGTATTGCAGGAGAGTTGGAGATTGGCTAGAAAGTAATGCTGTGGAAGTGGATTTAGGAAGTGTTGTAGGTTGCAGGCTAAATAGTGAAACACTGGAACAGCTATCACAAATATATGAAATGTCCTGGAATATTTAACATGAATACACTGACAGACATCTGAAGTAATGTTTCTGCTTTACACGGCATTAAGTCTTCAGCAGAATTACTACATCTAGGTTCAGAACTGCACTTTACGAGAGATCAGAGGAGAGCAAAAGGGACAATCACAGGTTTAGCTTGAAACATCTGAAGAAATGTCCCCCCCCCTTTTTTTTTTTTTTTGGAACAATCTTTACTTGCTACAAAGACTAGTGCATATGATGATATAATTAAATACTGGGTTTATCCACAGTATTTCAGTTATGTTAAGCGGAATTAGGAAAAGAATGCTATCTTATGCTGGGGACCTAGGACATTTCATTATAAAACACTAGTGATACCAAACTTTTTGGATCATGTAGTCTGCAGCTACACAATGTCATATTATTCCCTAGAATATATACACACTGAGAATTTTCAGATAAACAATTCTAATTAAAACATCATAAACTGAAATCAAAGAAGGTAAAGGAGTTAAATTCCTTAAAACCTCATTCAACACAAACTTAATTCTAGAGGCCAAATTTTAAAGGCTTTCTGTGAGCATTCCTGTTTTAACTGTAATATAAAGTTTTATAACAGAGAGAAACAAAAGTCTTCGTCTAGAAGAAGGGAGAAATGAAGTTAACCATAGTGATATAAGTTTTTTTTTTTTTCTTCTGTAGGAAAGAATACTGCAAAGCAGCATAGTAGTTTATGCAAAACTGACTGCAAGGTTAAAACCAGAGTTATGGAACTTCTATTTATCAGATTCAAAATTGTCTTTTTCCATGTGGCACTTACTGATACATCAGAACCCACAGTAAGATGATTATGAAAGAAAAAAAAACAAAACAAAACCATCCAAGAAATTTTTGGATGTTGACTGTATGTCCTACGCTATATACCTTGGCTAAACGAGTATGATGGGACTAAAACTCTCCACAAGTCAAAGCAACAGAAAATATACATAAAGGGTAGAGAACGTAGGATGTACAGAAAAGATCGTAATTTAGTTTTAGGTGCAAGTTATTTGTTGAGTGAAATTCGGTTTCAGTACTAACCAGTAACGTGTTCACCGATACCTCCGGAATCGGTAGCCATTTCAGCAGGCAGGCTCTGAGCAAGTTCCAATTTCTCAGGGATATGCAGGTATTTAATAGTGGATATTTGTGTAACAGAGGAAAGAGAAGATCCTGGGGAGACAGAAGAACCTGACGAGCGAGTATCTTCCTGACTTGCTTCCATGATCGGACTGTAAATAAAGTCATCAACAATTCAGACTTCCAGAGAACGCAATGGCTAGATAAGGCTAGCTAGTGACTATGAAAGTATACCATGCATCCATAGACTTCTTAAACAAAGATGTCCTTTTTTAACTCTCCACTTCATCAAAAAAGATATGTTGGAGCATCAGTTTAGCTCCAGTGATTGTTCACATCCATTCTTAGTCTACAGATGATTTTTATCTTATCTTACCTTAACTATGGCAGCTATAGCAGAAGAGATGCTGAACGTTCATTACTGTCTTAGTTACCAAAATTCAGACTTACAATAAAGAAGTGCAAATGCTTTTAAAGCAGCACAAAATGAAAAAAAAAAAAATCACTCTTGCTCTTCCTTCCCAATTATAATCAGCACGGCTTCCCAGGGAGCTTGCCAAATAAACACACACCTCCAGCTTGGTGTACATATTTACGTATTAACAACTAGCAAATGAAACTCAGTTCTAAATTAAGAAAACACGATACAATCAATGACTTTCTTTACAATAATAAGAAACAGTGGGTTGTTTGTTTGCTTTCCCCCCCCCCCCCCGGTAAGAGATCTAAATCATCAGATCCCTTTTATATATTGAAACAACTACAGAAACATTCAAGTACAAAAGAAAGTGATGATTCTACTTTTAATTTCTATGGTTACAGAGAAAGTGTTTATGAATCTCTTTGCAAGTTATTTTTAGTAGAAAGAGAATAGAGTTAAATCCTGCAGCATCAACAGTGAAAAGTCAAATGAACTTGTTATTACTTTTTTAGTTCTTAAATCTGCTCAAGGCAAAACAACACTACCATTTCTCTAGCTTGGAGTCTAAGTACACTCTGATCTTTCTGAAAAATTGCTTCTTCAGAAACAGCATAGCGAAACTGCAATCAAAGACACACAGGTAAAGGGCAGACAATGCTTTGCTATAATTACCTCAGTTTCTTGGCACAAAGAGCTTCATTGTACGTTCCTTCACACCCAGGGATTTGCTGATTCAGAGGGGTGCTCTTGGATTCTGGACAGTCTTCCTTCAGGGTGCTCTCTGAATAAGCGGGAGCTGGGATTCTCTGAGCTACCACACCATGAAAGGGAGTTGATGCCAGGTGGGCAGCCCTAACAAAATCACAGGTGTCTTCTGGGTTGGCACAAAAGGTTTTGTTCTTGTAAGAGCCTGTCACAATTGCATCTTCAGTCAAAGGTTCAATTCCATTCAGCTCATCCTGCAACAAACAGGAAAGGAAAACAAAAAAATGATTTGTCATAAAAATCTATAGGCTTTATTTAAAAGCTGTCTCCTCCCTGTCCCCTTTCCTGTTGTCAAATTCATAAGGTGTGCACAGATGTGCTTCATATTCCTACCAGGCAAAAAAGCATGCATAAAAAAAATTGTCACATAGGCAGTTACTAGGTGTAAAATATTGTACTTGTAGATAAATTAAAACAAAAATTTAAGTCACCACATTTTTAAACTGACATAATTGCCTCCCATACATAGTGTTAGTTTTCAGTTAGTTTTCCACTATCTTTATCCCTCTTATCTTCCAGGTCACTCTTTCCTTTAGTCATGCCAGTCCCATAATAATCCCTCACCTAGTCATTACAGAGAACATTTCTCTCTTCCTTTTTCCAGCTTACCACCTTTCAACTTGAATCTGACACCCTGTCTTCAGGTACGCTACCTATATGCTCTTTTGAGCTAGGTAACTGAACCCTGACCATAATATATTTGCCTATGTTTTTTCCAAACTAGAAAGGGTAGCATTGTTGCACGCATTCTAGAGCACTGAAGAGCTACCATGAACTATTAAAGGCTACTTACTATCTGCCACCCTCATTTCAGTTCAGTTATAAGCAAATAACGTAAGCGTTGACTAAAGCGTTGGGCATTGAAAACCACTAGAGCACGCAAAGTGGCACTGTGTAGATATCCTCACCAACTCTGGAATCAAAAGCAGCGCAGTGCTCACCGTGAATTACTTAACCCTGCGAGTTATTTCATAGTGTAATTGTACTATAAAATCCTTCCTAGTTCAGGATAAAACCCTCTCAGTTTAAAGCTTTATTGCTAGCATACAGTAACAAAGTCCTTTGATGAGACAGCAAATCATGGCTGTATTGAATGCTTTACAAATATCTGCAAGACTGCCAGAGAAGGACAAAGAATCAGGATGGCTTAAGATAGAGGGTGCACAGGTTTAGAGGATTCAAGTAGGTTGTGCTTTAAGTGAGGAACAGAGGGTTGAGATGCTTGTTCAGATGTGTGATAAAAAAAGTGGATGGAAGAGGATGCAGTATTTCAGATAACACTTCATCACACAAATGTTTTTAAATAGTTGTACAGTGAGGAAACCTGACCACTAGTCTCTTGATTAAAATTTTAAAAGCTCTCTACCACCATCTCTGTACTAGCCACCTTAAAGTCTAGTAAAACCATGACATTTCCAGTGTAATCTTAATATCACCCAATTCAATCATTGCCATGCGAGACAGAAGCATAGGACTCTTGCTTATATCATATCAAGGACTCGTCAGTCCAGGCAATCTCACTCGGTTCAACAGTAGAACATTCCACATTGGCTTCTCCTTGTCAGGAAATCTGCTATAGGGTAAACTGTTTCCTTACACAAGCTTCTGGTAGTACGTTTTCCTTTGCCGTGATACAATCCGAAGATTTACGAATAGCAAGAGGGCGCCGGGCACTTTTCTGTGTATGACCTGTAGAACAACTAAGATAAAGTTATATTGTGTTAAATATTTATTAGCACAGTTTCTGATCTTCAGAGATTTCTCTCAAGAATTTAAGTTTACTGGCCACTTCAATCTGAACCACTTTCTAAACCAGAAAATTGCAATACATACTGCTTTCCAGAACAAAGAAAATTTATATAGCACCCTAAGTAGTTTGTGAAAAGATCTAGGAACACCAGGAGAATATTTCCCAGCCACAGAGTCTCCCAAGTAGTATAAGGAAATAAAAATAAAAATCTAACAAAAACCACCCACACCCAGACAAGAGTGAGTCCTGTAATTCAGCTCTTAACGGAAGTGGCTGGTACTTCAGTTTTTCCCTCCTCCCCAAATCTAGGTCTTCAGTAATTCAACCTGATATTCTGGTTTGCTGAAGTAGATGATTCATCAAATATAGAGAAAAATGTAGCAGGATCCAGCGGAGGATGGAGAGCTACATCTATAAAAGAAAACCAAAAGGCTCTATTATATCAACAGTTTTTCCACAACAGCAGATTCAATACTTCTTAAAACATTTAATATGCCGCATTAAAAGTACCAGTCCTAGCAAGAAGTTACAGCACTGTTTAAAGTATCTTATGGGCGGGGAGGAGAGTGTTCGAACAAACAACCAATAAAAACCAGCTTGGTTTTGTCATGTCAGAGAACCACACAAAACCTGTACCTTTCTTACTAAGGTTGGCTTCAGCTCTCTGGTCTTCCTGTTCATCCTCAGAGTCCAAAAACACACTCCCTCCCTGTATATCCAGGTGTACACCAGGAGACTGGATAACCTCTGTCAATAGACACAATAGTCAACTCAAATCAAAAGTAAATTTCTTCAGCGTGCACGCTGCCCAACAACTGAATTTAGAATGCAGCAAATGAATATACAGTTTCCAGTTGTAGACCACTACCAAATCCTCAAAAAGAGGACTAAAGATAGTGTCAATCTTAAGGGTAGTTTGATTTTTTGTTTTTTAAATAAGCAGATTTTAGTGAGACTGCATACATGAAAGTGAACAAAGCTCTTCAACTATTAAAAAAACATAGCTCTTCTGATTGAAAGTTTCTTCAAACAACAGATCTCTTCATTAAGTGCCTCAGGTGCTCAGTCTTTTGCTGAATAAAGTTAAAAGCACTTGACATTAGCACGTTCTTATTTTCATTCTTCTAATCCACCTAGGCTTTGGTTTTTAGTTTGCTATAGGGTTTTGCTACTCACCTGAAAGAACACTTTCCTTCTGTGCAACCTTCTCTTAAATGATACAAATTTAAATACTACTTACTCTTGGAACAAGCTGGTTTATGCAGCCGAGTATCTTCTGACCGTTGGGATTCACTGTGAACAAGATACAAACTTGTTTCTTATATTTTACACCCTCACAAAACATAAGCAGACTTTGTAAAAAAGCAAGGCAAGCTGTCCTATGCTAGCTGTAAAAGAACTAATTCTTTGAAGACTTCAGATTCTGGTTACAGGCTGAGGCCTAAGGGTACCCTTTCCCTAGATAGGAGCAGATTTTCTGTTAATGATCCATGCTCCTCAAATAGTTATCCCCACAAATTTTCTCGTTGCTTACAAAGAAAGTCTATATTACCTTTGCAAATGAGACTGTTTCTCTCCAAGTTCTGTTGCGCTGGAAAAAGGAATTCCTTGCAGTTCCAAAGGTGGTGAAGACACTCTTGTCTCTGCTGGCTGTGAGAACAACAGCGTATTTTGGTTCCGCATTGATGAAATCACAAGCCATGCAAGAAGGTTCCAAGAATGCTATGATAATTCTGTGCAGGTCATTAAAGCCTTGATGGTATAATAATTTTCTTTAGCCATTTTTGTTTGTACTTAGTTTACTTGCATGAGAAAGTTTATTTTACTGTACTAACCAAAGAGAATACAGACAAACAACCCCTACCATACATATATAGCTGTAAAGAGTAAAATCTAAAACTTTCATTTGGTATTTTTGTTAATCAAGAGGCTACACGGCGTCTATTTTTGTTTGTAATGTTTGTAAACATTCTATGTATGTTTGTAAACAGCTACATAACTTACAAAACGTTCCGAATTTGATGCATTTCATCATTTAAAACATATCTATTACTAATACAGTGTTTTGGAAGGGGAGAGGGAGAACGTTTTATTAGCACAAACTGATATAGTCAGGAACAAGAACAGCGTTAAAATATTAACTTTTTAATTGTGATTTGCAACCTACATGAAAACTGGGGTTTAAAATTGTTGTCAACATACATGAAAATAGCTCTTGTTTTCCAACTAGTTAAACAATACTTAACAACGATAGAACAAAGTATACTTGCTTAGTATTTAAATAAAACTGGAAGGGTCTCTGCTCAAGACTGCTCTGCACATAAAAAAAAAAAAAAAATGTATTGCATGATAAGGTGTGCTACTATCTATGAGTCTTGGAAGCAAGAATCAGATATTGCTTTGCCACCCTTTACTCATTTCCCTAGCTTCAGCTCCTATCTTCTTTTGCATTACCAACTTCTCTAGATAGAAGGAAACCACTGGTGGTTAGAGTTTAAGAAAGAGCCGTTTACCCTTAAGCATTCAGCAGATCTTTATTAAATAATTTAGAAGTTTATACCTTAGCATAACTTCTCTTGCCTGATTCCTAAATAATTTCACAAGTATTGTTAAGTTACACTACAAGATTTTAAGCCTTTGATTTTATACTCCTGCAGTGAAAGCACATGGTAGGGGGCACGGAATATTTCTTTGAGCTTTCATCAACTGGGTAACATTTCCAGTGTATGCGTACAATAGACTGAAGCATCATTTCCAAGAAAGGAAGAAAGGAAGAAAAATTAGCCAAGAAACACATTAGATATTCTTCCACTAGCACCTTCACTTAAAATAGCAGCTATTTGTAGAAGAGCAGATAAATGAAGAGGTCAATACCTGCTCATGTGGTTGTTGCTGCTTGTCATCTTTCTTCAGTTTCTTCTCCAGCTCCTCAATTCTCCGTTGCATCTCTTCCTTCTTCTGTGCTATGGCCTGCATCTCCTCTAAAGATGAGAAAGCTGGTAAGATACCATGCATATTTTAGATGCAAGTTGTGGCTAAAACCTAAATACGCCCTAAAGGAGTATTTAGCTGTGTTGCTTTCTCTATACCTCAGAGTGGCCAAAATAACTATTCCAGTAGAACAGCAGCTGCAGTAAAAAACTGGTATGCCAATAAAAATTGGGAGTACAATTTTACCTCAGGAAGTCTTAAGTCATCCCACTCTGAGGCATACCTTCCGTTTTCTTTTTTGCTTTCTTTCTGTATATTTCAGCTCGAATCTCTTCCAAAGAAAATTCTTCCACTCCAGCATAAACTTTATCTTTACAATACATCACCACCTCTTTCTTTTCCTGAGTATCCTGCTGATGGTTTTGCACTCGCTGTAGTGGATCCTCCTCTTTCTCAGGTTTGCGAGCACTTAAAACATGGTTTATGCTGGGTTCAATTTTGCAGGGAGTCCTGAAGGAAAAAGTTAATATTTGGAGTTTAGGAACTTCATTGTCACAAATAAAAGAAAGCACTGGTGAGAAAAGAGCTAATTTCAGAATCTAGCTACAGAACAGCCTAAGAGACAATCTGGTGAATTGATAGACAAACAAAACAAGGAAGAAAAATGGAAGGATAGCACAGAAATAGAAATACACCAACTCATAACTGTATAAACCAGTAAACCAGAAAAAACAAGGAAGTGATAATAAGGCCCCCAAAAGAAATTAAAAATCTCACGATACTCTAAATTGCTGTGCTTTCTGGAGTGGGATTTATTTTTACTTTAGCTCTAGTGATCTGTGTGAATGCACAGGTCAGAAGTCGCTAACCATCCTCCAAAACAGTTTACTTTAAGAATTAGCGGAACTGAAAAATGAAAGATCTTGAACTAGATAAGGCTTGTATTTGAGACTTAAAAAAAAAAGTAAGATGCAACAAAAGCAGAGGTTGCTCAAGGAAAGTGTTCTACATACTGAATGACAGGAATGAGTTTCCCAGTTACACATACCTCAATAAATTCAGATCTCAACAACTCAATGAGAAGTGTTTAACTGTGATTTGGGCGATTAGTTAACTCAAAACAGTTAAAAAGACATCGTTAAGAAAGCTGTTAAGTTTCACTTTTAAAATGGACTCACAACTCTAAGACCAGGAGGCACAAAATGTACTCCCTAACAGTTGGGCTTTAAAAAGTGTGTTTTTTATTTTGGGGGGGGGGGGGGGGGGGGGGGAAAGGAGTTAATTAGCTAGGTCACTATGGGGTCCTCCTACCCAAACATTTGGATAACCCTTGATAACATAACATGATTTGCAATATCTTTACACAGTGTCAACACACCTCTTTCCATCTAATTGACTACTGCATCATGAGGCAATTGACTCAAAGTCAGAAAAATATCTGCCTTTAAACTCTTTCTATTACGTAGTGTAAGACTACTTAAGCTACTTACAGCTAATTTAACAAATCCATGTTTAAAACATGATACTCAGCTCTCACCCATTCCCTTCTTTTCCCCTGTGTAAAAAGAGGCTGCCTTCTGTAAATATAAGTCTTCATCTAAGAGAGACCAGCATGTCAGGAGATCTAATTACATGGTATTACTGACTTCCAGGAGCAAAAAGCAGTTTTATAGTTTAGACAATTTTGATATTTCACATATTCTAAAATTATGGTATACCTTTGGTCAGAGCTACTCTGCAGTCCACATGCAACACACAAAACTCATGGGAAAAATTTACTGTTAGCAACCTCTCAGCATTCTTTAATTATACATGCAACTCAAAAAAAAAAAAAAAAAGCACTCATATCATTAGCCACTTGAGAAAGAAAGGTAAGCAGCTTTTCAAAATGATGCATTTCTTCCTACTGTAACAAAATGGAGTAAGCCCGTCTCCTGGGATTTATCAGCATTTCAGTAAGCACTATATAAAGGGGAAAGTAGTGTCAGGAAAATAGCATACTCCTCCATAACTGAAGCCACACTGTTGTCATGGAAACTTTGATAGCTTGTTTCAGAATGAAACTCCATACAGAGTCAGCATAGAGTTCCCAAGATAGAGGAAAACAGCAATAAGCCTGTATCAATTTGGGACTGCTTTCACAACAAACAGTATCCTAAGACAGGTAACTGGTTTTGTGTAAATACAAATTAGACCAGTAACTATTTAAACTATTTACCATATACAGACATGATAGGCGCATAATGGGCGCTGATGGTCAAATGCCTCCCATGTCCCTGTGAATCCTCCTCTGAAGCCTCTGCCGTTCAGCTAAAACACTGATAATTCCGAGGTTGACCTATTTTAAATCTTCTTATAGCTAGAGGTTTGACTACTCAGTCAAAAGAGTTGGAATCTTATGAAGCACCTTTGAAAATTTCAAACGCACATTCTCATTTCAAACTAAGGTGAAGACTCACATTACTTGTTGCTGAGCTGACTCTTCCACATATGGGGTGAAGTTGGGCAATGCACCGGGTGCTTCCATACCAGAATTTGCACTACTACGAGGACGCTGAGGGAGAAAAAGTCAGTGTCGGCAGCTTAAAGATTCATTTTTAAACTTTACATTCCTTTCTTCTCTGAATCTCCATTTTCCCAGTCCTCAGCTCTGCTAGTTTTTCTTATTAAAATATACATATACATACACACACACACACACTTTCCCCAAGGCTGATTTGCAAGAGTAATTCCCTTCTGATACATTAGCCAGGCACGGATTTTAGTTGGGCCCCAGCACCTAGAAAAGCTAAACATACACCTCCCACCTCCACATTCTCAACAAGGCCTAGCTTATTTGTTACTCTGAGGGAACACTGGCAAAGCAGGAGATTCCAATTGTTTCTTGTTTGCTTTCCAGAGAGGCTATTATCCTTTTTTTCATCCAAGACTGATTGTAGGCAATAGAGGGGATAATAATGAAGAATTAAGACAAAGAGGCTCCAGACTTCTCCATTTTCTTCTCAGGGGCCATTCCAACACCCCAAAAATTCCTGAAGATGAACTGCTTTTGGAGTCAGTTATTAAAGAGAAGATAGATGGAATTTAGTCTGCCAACATTTTATTCTCATCTGCTTATTTGAAGTTCCCTAAAATTCTCAGGCAAAAAAATTTATGTAGTGGAGATATTTTAAAGATTGGGTCGTCTTTTCCACCATCTTTCATACAACTGTATACTCAACTATCTTCATTTTGGCAGCAACAGACAAACCTCTTTCCTTTGTGTAGCTTTTAAACACAGCACAAAGTGTTCATAAAAAGTTATTCTGTGTAATACAAGCCAGAACGAGCACCACATTTGAGTGAAAGCAAATTAAAAAAAAAGAAAAGCCACTCAACTCTTCTGTTAGTTGCAGCTTTTTTTTTTTTTTTTTAAATGACATCTAACAAATAAACTTCATGAAAGGCGTAACAGATAGGACTAAGGCAGGACAGAAAGAGAATACAGAAGTATTCTAAATGAGCGTATTAAGCAGTTTTCCTTACCCTGCCAGAGTTCCAAGGTCCTGCACTTAATTCATTCTCCTTGGCCTTTGGAACTGGAGGTGCTGTCCATGGCTGAGGTGTGAGTACAGGAATACCAGGTCCAGCAGCTGAAGCTGAATTTTCATCAAATACAGCAAAACGTAGATTACTTGAAAGCTGCTGAGAAGTTGGATTCCGTAAGCTTCTGTTTCGGTTCGTGGCTATAAGCAGGAGAATTATGCAAATCAACCTTTAACCCATCATACTCAGGTGTAAATTTCACAAAAGTATATTATTTTTCCAAGAACATACAGTTTCACCACTTGAATGTACCTTTAAGTGCATCTCCCACACGACTGATTGGCGCTATCACTTTTTTCTTTCCCCTGCCTTTTAGATCTGCCAATGAGCTTCTGTGAGGTTCTGCAGTTCCCAGAAGATCAAGGTCTTTTTCATCAGCAGCTTCCTCAAGCCCCAGTAGTGTCTGTCGAGAAACACGGGCCTGAAATTGCCTGCAAAAATATTGAAAAAGTCAGCATGAAACTTCACCCTAGCAGGTATCCACTGAAGCACTTAAAAATAGTCCAAGTTCCTCCCTTTAGGAGGAAGCTTACCTGTGATGGGACTGGAGCTTGTCCAAAGGCTCAGCCTTGCGCTGAAGACCTTCCTGGAATATTAAGTCTGCTTTCTTAAAGCTTCCTCTAGCCTCAAGTTCTTCTGCCCATGTAATGTAGAGTAGTGCCAGTGTTGTGCCAATTTCCTGGCTATGTAGATAACTGTACAGATCCAAGGGCTCGTTACAACAATTTCCCTGAAATATCCAAAGTATTTTTTATAATTGCATTGAACTACAAAAGGATTCCAAGTCAACACCTGCTTTTTGATGCTCCTGTATGACCCCCCCCATTGATTTAAATACAACCATACGTCCTCCCTTTAGAAGACTCGTATCATATCACAATGCATAAGATAAAAGAGAGAAATTCAAGAGGGGAAGAACGATAACGAGAAAGACCTTTGACTGCATGTACATATTTGACAATATTATAACCACTCCCTTAATTCCAGCCTACATATTTAAAGCTAGTCATTTCTTAGAAGTTTTATCTGAGATAATTCAATGACTGAAGTATGGCATATTAATATTTGTGAAAATAATTATCTTTAGATAAGTACAATATATTTCTAATCCACATAGGGACTGGTAAATCATCTCAGACAGCTAAACCTAGAGGAAAAGTGACCCTTTTACAAAACAGAACAATTAAACAAACAAACAAAAAAAACAAAGTAAAGCAGAGACAGGCAAGACCAGAACACTCTCAACTTAGTTTTACAAAAGAAAATTTAAAAAGTTCGTAGCTGTCTGAACTGAATGAACCTGAAAAACACCTGAAGATTCTATTAGAAGTGAGAAATGGAATTGAAGAGTAGATAACACGTTTGTAGAGAGATACCTCTAATATTGCACTAGTGGTAAAGCATATTCTTTGACTCTGAAGAAATTCAGATTAGCCATGTGCAAATGATACCCAAAAGTAGCAAGAAAGAGTAGCACCCAAGAAATATTCACAAAACACTCACAAACTTGAGCCAGAGATTAAGATAGCGGGGATCTTTGTAGTATCTCTGTTGTTCATTGAGTGCTTTCACAGCCCTTTCCAATATTGCTGAGAGATTACTCTCCTTTCCACCTTGGGGGAACGTTTGCTCTGTCCACTTGATGTACCTAGAGATGGAATATGTTCATAGGAAGACAGTTCTGAATAAAACATATGGCCTTTGTTTCTGTACAAGGTAAGGAGAAACACAAGAATAGGCATAGTACTGAAACAGACACTATGGATTACTTCCCCCCCGCCTCCAAGTTTTTTTTAAATACACTTGCTCTTTTAACTAGTTCAGTATTATTTTAAATTAATTTTCTTCAAGCTTTTATGAGGGAATCTAACATTTTAGTGACATAAATGTAACTTTTCCATTCATTCTTCTGAAATAAAAGGAAGCTTACCGGTCCCAGACATCCAGTGGATCATCTCCAGAATAAAACCGGATTTCTGATTCAAATTCTCTAGAAAAGATATTGTCCAATCGTTAAAGACATTTGTAAAACCATAAAAGCGTTCACTGTGTAAACTAAGACCTCCACTCTTACTTATACTACTTTGTAGGTCCACATTTTAAAAAAAATGTTAGGTTATCATATGTTTAGACCTGATTTTGTACTGAGACCCAAAAAACCAGAAAATAAATATTTGGATTCTTCTTCAGAATGAAAGTGCTAGGAAACTTACTTCCAAATATTGCACAAGAAGAGACATCGGTACAACCTTTCCAATGCATACTTTGAAGAATTTCTACTCCAAAGTTCATATGATCTCCCTTGACATAATTCTTGTTTCATTTTGCAAAGTTATTAGCAAATGGAAAGATTGCAATGAAAAATTTCATTTTTCCATGAAATATGCCTTATTTAAGCCAAGGAGGAGATTAGATTACACAGGCTGATGGAAAATGCTTGATCAGACAGCTACGGAACTGCACTGGAGAGCATAGCTAAGACTTCTAAGTGGCCACACTGACAGCCATCATCTTGTCTCTTTGTTCAGCTCCCACACATCGTTCCATCCTTGCAACATGACGGCTTCTCCCTCAGACGTCATAATTGTAAGAAACATTTATCTCTGGAGAAATAACCTGCTTCAATAGATTACTGTATAAGAGACTGTGCTCTCCTTTTCAGTGGTTTTACTTGGCAGATTACCACTGCAAAGATAAAACAAAACAATCAGACAAAAACTCTTCCTCCCTGTAGCCTTATTTCTCTTAATGAGTACATTTAAAAGCACAACAGAGTCTCCTTAGTGTTTGCAGTTTAAATGCTCCATTGCTAACCTACAAATAGAATTATCCATGGCACCAGTATTCTATCTGTACAGCACATACAGCAATTAGTCTTAAATATCTGTAGTGTGATGCTAGCATAGACATAAGTTACAAAAAATTCTTGCTCTTCTGTTCTCTTGTGTTTATGCTCATGAGATTAGTAGTGATAAAGGTGGCAAAGGAAAACAGATGAAAAGGCAGTAAGGGGAAAGAAGGTGTCCAGACATTGCTTACTGTTTTTTGAGTTGAACAGCAGTGTGGATGGAAGTCTCCTGCTGAGCCAGGGCTTCCTGCAAGGTGGACATGACACGTCCCTGCCTCAGGGGCTGCACGTTCTCTTTGCTCAGCTCCCATTCATCGTTCCACTCCTGTGACATGACCAGCTTCCCCTTAAATTCTGCGTTTATGAAGAAACAATAGAGAAAATACTGATTTAAATACTGAGGTAGGGTACTAATTTGAAACCTGACAGATCTCAGTTTAATTAGCTGACCCACCACACACTCCCTGTGTAGCCTTAAGCAATCATTTAGACCCCAACTTTTAGAGGAAATCAGGTGTTTGATTCCTGTTCACGGGAATCACACGAAACAACAGCTAGAAACCTCTTTACAGTCAGCAATCTCGGACAGGCGTCCTTAGCAGAAAAAACTGCAACACAGTAAGGCGTTTCCTTCTCCCCGCCCCCCCCCGCCCCCTGCCTATTCCCTTCCGCCCACCGAG